CCCCCCCCCCAAAAAAAAAAATTATAGAAAAACACACTCTAAAAGATAACATAATAAAATTATCTTAGCTAGCTTGCCTCAAAGTGCCCATCTGAATGCAACCTTTGGGATGTGATCTGCTTTCATTTGAAGCATGTGGCCATGCTGCTGCTTCCTCTGTCTCATTTCAGAGAAGACCTCTTCATATCAGCTTTGGTATCTAGAACCATATAATAGGATGGATTTGATATACACTGGGTTGAAACCTTTTGACCCTTTATAAGCAGAAGCAGTTAACAGAGTGTTTTAAGAGGATCTAATTTTGCTTCCCTTTTTCACACCTTTTTTAACATGTTTTATTTTTGAATACCTCACTGATAATGAGTTAATGATTATAATTACTGAGAAGACTTGCAGTCTGATTAGCAAAGTTTTGAGAAAATTAAGTTTTGTTAGCAGGAAACCCACCTGTCAGAATAACGGAACATTGGGTTCTCAGAAAATACGCTCTGACCTTTTTAACAAACCACAAACAGGTGACCTTGGTATCAGCAAGAGCTTGTGTCTTTCCCCGGTGCACGCAATGGAAAAATAACATTTATATATAAATGTTGAGTGTGTACTGCAAAAAAGACAAGTTTAAAATAAATATATCTAAAAAGTACTTAAAAGTAAGATATTGTATCCTACTGTTATTGTGAAGAGTGAAAGTTAGCTGTGGGTGTTTGTGGGTTGGTTTGCCGTGGGCCCAAAATAACCACATTTCGCAAGTCTTACCTGTGAGAAACACACGTTTATTTTTCATCCTGTTTTTGACAGAGTTTAAATGTCAGTGTAGTTCACATGCAAAAGCAGCAACTGCTCAATATGTATCAGCTGACTATTGGAAAAAAGACACATCATATTTGAGATATGGCTGCAGGGAAGTAAATGGTAAACCATTAACTTATACAGGGGTTAAAAACTGTAGCATCATCTGTGAAGTGGCCAGTATCCAACTGTGTTAGGACCGTGCTTTCGATAGAGTTTTTTTTCTATTTAAATCAGCTATTATGGAAACAGGTGCATAACAAGTACTGCCATTAAAATGTGCGCCTATTTATTAGTCGAAGGAAAAAAACAAGAGGAAACGCTGTTCACCACAAAAACAGAGTTTTTTTTCTTCAGGAGTGGGGGTGGATTCAAACCAAGAAGACTTGATTTGTGATACATTTCTTAGTACTGACCTTCAAGGAGACGTTATCTTCTATTTTTTCTGTTTTACAGGGGGAGTTTTTACTATGATGATCTTTCTTAAGGCATCAAAAGGAATGAAACCAGCACTTTGAAGTAGATCCTAAGGAGCTTCATCAACAGGTAAGACACTAAAGTTCATATTTTTCATGCTTAATTCTAAGTCTGTGTCTAACATGTAATAAGTGGCATGTCACGCATTGTTAGGTGTGATCAGGTGGTTAGAGAGGATGTGGGACCTGCTCTGCTTAAATGGTATTTTTGCTATTTTTTTATGAAAAACTGGTATGATGACTGTATGTCTATGAAGCACATTATTGGAAATGTTTTATCAAAGGGTTGCTCAGTTTCACCCGAAGTCATTTGGTTTGCAGGGCTCTACACCCACATCTAATGAAACAGCATGATTATTCATGTGTTGGTACAAAGTTAATGCTTTGGCACTTTAATATCTTACTGAATGGCAAAAATTCAGATCATCTTTATTAACCACGCATGCAGAAATTGTCCAATGTCCAATTTTATATTTTTATATATATATATAACTTCTTGTCCTTGCTGACTTACAGTGACCTTTCAACAATTTGCGATGCTGGGGGTGGTCAAAGGGGAAACAGGTTGGAAAAATGTAACCAGAGCGGGTAGCTACTGCTTTTTCAGCCTGGTGTTTAGTTATTCTTCAATTCTAAACATAGTGGCTTCAAGTGCTGTTGAGCAGGACTTAGCCAGGGGTGCTGTTTTCAACTTTTACTCAATTAAATAATAAGATAAACCATACAACTAAAAGGATCAAATTAAATGTGGTGCCGGAATATTTAGCATATTTTTTCTGGTGATTGACTCTTTGTAAATTCTAATTTTTAGAGCCTGGAGCGCTTTAATCTTTTATCATATTTGTCTGTTGTCTAAGTTATTTTAAAAATATTTTGTCAAGAAGAATGCTTAAACCTAAACTGCCTACAGGTAGGGTTATCTGTGTAAGTAGAACCAGAGCAAACAAATGGAGGCAGAATCTGAAAAATACTTATTTCTGCTTTTTCAATCACCTGTTGGTGTCACAGCGGTTTCTGGATGTATTTGTGTATGTTTACGCAGAAATAAACTCTGACAAATGCCACAAAATAAAGCAGAAGAGGAAAATACAGTAGCCTTTGTCATCCCTCTGTCACTTCTTGTCAGTAGTTGTATCTTTTTATCTGCACAGAATGAGAAGAAGGAGTAGGCAGTGAGTCACACCCTGAAGCAAGAACAATCCATCAAATCCCCACATCTCCGAGTCATTGATAACCAACCATCCAGGTGGTTTGCGATCTCCCAGAAAAGAAGAGGGATTATGCCATAAATGGAGAGAAACAAGAAAACCCCTCTTTCTCTTCTGTTTGTTCTTCTTGCTCTGCCTCATGTCTCTCTCGATTGTCCCAGCCATCCAATTGTAAATGATAAAAGTTAGTGATTTTTTTTTATATTTGCACTCATAACCATACACTTTTATATTGTCTAGCATAATTGATATCAATATCTTTCATCAAGACTAATCACAACAAAAAGCTCTTGAAAATGATTTCATCCTTTTCATTTCATCTCATCTCCATTTTTTACAGATCTCATCTGCTACAACGACTACAACCATAACATCAGTTGTGTGTGGAACACCACATATGTGTCTGAACATGCAGGCACTGTGTGCACAATAAATGCCGAAAGGAAAGAGTAAGCACAGCAGTTACAAAAAGAAAAACTGGACAATTATGTCATAATAACATTATGAATGCAGAGAAATGTAATTAAAATTTTTAATTAAAAGTTTTTTCAGTAGATACAGGGGTTCCTGTAAACTGGAGCCTGTTGACGTCTCCAGACCAACGCTACAGAAGTGCTCTGTGATCTTCACAACAAAGTGGAGGGTAAGGGTGAGAAGCACTGTAGTAACATTACTGTTCATCAATTTAGAGAAGAATGGCTTGAGAGAGTTGGATAGAGAAAGAGGATGAGAGTTAGATGTGAAGACCAATTCTTCTCTTTGTGAGACTATTTAAAATAATTCAACGCAACTAAATGTCCTGAATTCCAGTTATTTCTGTTACCTTCTTAATATAATGAAGCACTCTCATTTGTTCTAAGGTTTTCGACGAACACTGGACAGCATTTATATCTACATTGAACATTATTAGCTGGGGCTTTTAATCAGAGCATCCTACGAGTGTAGCTGCCGGGTGGATCATTTACCTTTACTATCAAACAAAAACCTTCTGATGTTCAAAGCTGCTACACTAATTTAGGTCTTGTTTTGTTTCTTATGGATGTTTATAAGAGCAATCTTTTTTTCTAAAATCTTCTCAGTTTCAAACATTCCACAACTTGAACATTACTCTGGACTGTAAACCTGGGAAGCAACGTTTCAGCTTTATGTACAAGCCTGCTTGTCATAGTGAGTACACTGAATAATATATCACCTTCTTGTGACTTAACTTGTGAGCTTTTCATGTTGACATAAAACAAACTATGTGTGTATGATATTTCAGTAAAGCTGAATCCTGGGCCAAAACCAACTATCAACTTTACCACCGTTTCCTGGTTCCCTCAAGTTTCCAAGCCTGAGGTATTCACGTCATCACTTTACAAGTACCAACTGCAGTGGAAACAAGAGGATCAGTCATGGACCGTGTGTATATATTTTGTATCTATGTTAGTATGTGAATGCATAAATGAGTGTGTGTATATTTTAGACAATGTTACACGATTTGTACAATTCATGGCGTGTGGTTGTAGAAAACACAAGCAAGAGTAAACAAACAGACATGAAAATCAACTTACACATTTGTTTCTTCCTCGCCAGGATCCCTCTGTGCAGAAAGAAGAAGAGCAGTGTAAGTGGGATTGCAAAGCGGAGCTGGATCCAAATCAGCTGATACAAGACGAGCGGTACGAGGCACGCATTCGAGTGAAGGTGGTGGAGGAAAGTGTATACTGGTCAACCTGGAGTGATTGGAGCCCCACTGCATCATGGGTATCGCCAATTGGAAAACCGCCACCATCAGGTAAAGTCAGCCAAATATGAATAGTGGTTTAGTGTAACAACAAATGCAGTCATTGCAAAGCCTGCTTTTTATTGTAATTACTCATTGGTCAGTTTATTTTTACATTTTTATGTATCCTTCTGTTCTGTTGAAATATCTTTACCCTATCTATAGATCTGGGCAACTAATTGCTAATTGTCATTGTGAATCAGAATAATTGAACAATAAGCACAGCGTATAAGCCAGATTTGTACTTTACTGTGGGATAAATACAGTATGCTTACCAATAGTGTGACATGCTCTGTTCTCTGTGTTGGTCAGACTTTGCCGGGGGTCCTTTTAGGATCGTTGCCTGCATGCTGGTGGTTGGCTTGTGTTTTTTTATTTGCTTACTTATCAGGACTGACAAAACCACCTGGTAAGCAAACACAACTACAAAGTACTTTTTTACTTTTCCAAGACATTTGTGTCACTTTTAATTTGAACATTTTTATTTCTGTTTTTGTTTTGTTCAAGAGCAGTAAAATATTTTTATATATTTATATTTTATATATTTTTTCAGATTTGTTTGTTTTAAGATCATGTCATTCTGTCTTTTAGGATTTACATAGGAAAGAGAATCAGAGGTCCGCCCATACCAGATCCAAGATACTCCTTCCTGCAGGATGTAAATGTAAAAAATCTTTTTCTTTGTTTTCCTAACTTAACTTAAATTGGGGACTGCTGCAGACTAAGCCTAATAAGATATACAGCAACATTTGCAATGATTTAAAGTTTTAAAATATTTGTTTTATACTGTACTGCAGAACAAGCACAACACAACATTGATGTATTATTATGGTGAATAACTAGCAGAATATTTACTTTACTTATTAGTCGACCTAAAGCATAGTTAGCATTTACAGTACATGGAGTTATGTCTCGGCCACCGTATGCATATAAGTCCAATAATTACCGTTATTCTCTATTTTAGTTTCCACCAGCTTCTTAGAAACTTTCCTCTCTAGCGAGTCACTAACGGCAACTGTCTGTCTATCAATTGGTGCTGGGCAGTTAACATACAGTTGGTTTATCAGAGCTTTTTTCCTCAAGACACCAGCCTGTTACAGCTGGAGACAACGTTAATGAAGCAGTGAGACTGAACCAAAATTTCAAGCCAGAAAACCAAAGCCATTAGCCGAACAAAGCTAAAAGGGTCCATAAGACTCAATGGAACTGCAGAGTTGGGCGATAAATGTCTGCAGGTTCATCACTGCCAGCCTGGTAGTGAAGACACATATTCATTTGTCCTTATAATTAATAATAATGGTTAATATAAAAATATTGATTTGTGCAGCTTTAAAGATAGCAATGCATGTTGAAAAAGGACGAGCACAACATGACGCAAAACAGTAGGATGTACATAAAACTCACGTAGGCGCTGAAACCAGACAGAGAAAAATTACTTATTAGTCAAAAGACATTTGACCTTTATGATCCAAAATGTTTGTGTCACTGTAGCAACAGTGAATAGATAACAAACACGTTAAACACTGGGTATTTGCTTATTTATAAAGACAGTTTTATGCAGCTATCTTTTGTATTTTTATAACCTTTTCAATTTCTCTTTTTGTTCTTCTGCCTTTGACTTTTTCTCCTCCAGAATTGGTTGAGTCCTCACTTCACCAGCGAATCCTTTTCTTCCTTCTTGAAACCGGTGGAAATCATCTCTGTAGAAGTAACCTCCACTGTGGATGCTATTTCACCCAGCAGGCCAGATACAGCACTGCTAGAGAAGATGAGAAGCGAAAGCAGCAACGAGTCGAACAGTTCCAGCTTTTCAAACCCCAGTTACTCGCATGTATCTCCTCCTCCTCCTGTCTCCTCGCTCACAGCGGGGAATCTGGCGCCCTGTGGCACTGATTCACCCTATGGACCAGTTGTTAATCAAGGTGAAGGTGAAAATGCAGAACAGGGTAAGGATGAACTAAGAGGGAAAGAAGTGGAAATCATGCAGTTGCTCTCCAAAGGCAGCAACAACAGTGAGCCTATGCCAGTAATTTCAGACTATGAGAAGGTTGAGAAGCCCCAGGTTGAGCGCTCTAGGCTCCAGAGTCTAGATTCAGGCATGTGCAGTGGCGAAGAGATCAGCCAAGAGAGCCTGGAAGTAGATAGCATCAGTGTAACCGATTGCCATGATGAGGGTCCTGAAGACAAGGAGGAGAGGGAGGAAGGGAATGAAAAAGATTTTCAAAAGCTGTTTGGAGGCAGCAGAGGTATTTTTGACAAAGGGTCCATTCAGGTTTGTTCTGGTTACGAGCAAGTCCAGAAGCTGCCGGCTGACAGCACCGAGCTCCCCAGCCTAGATTCATGCATTAGCAGCGGGGGCAAGGAGCAGGAGAGTCAGGAGGAGAGTCTTGAGGAAGTTGATAAGTCCACCGAAACCACTAGCTTTCTGTTTCCTCCTCCTTCCAGCCCATTAGCATGCTCCTTGCCCTCTGTCTCTCCTTTGCCTTTGAACTTCTTTGGCACAGATTTGAGTCCGCAACCTCTGCCAAGTTATATATTGGAAAGGATTGCTCTAATGTCATCTAGCAGGTGCGTGGAGCCCTCTGGTGATGGATATATGCCGGTAAGACAGGAACAGAGCTAAAAACAGACCTAAATCTCTTCAGTTGGCCCTATAGAAAATGTTGAACAATATACAATCTAGTAGCCTGACTGATCTGGTTAAGTCAGTTGTTTGTTCTCATGAGTATGTAACATCGTTGTTTTTTTTAATGCACAGGTTTCAATTTCCAAAGATGGGTACCTTTTAATGAATGTATTTTTTTTCTACACTGGATTTTATATGTAATCACATATTCAGTTATTTATTTTTAATATTTTAGAAATAAATACAAACAAAACCAATGACAACATAATAAACCAAAAGCAAAAAGCATGAGGTTTATATTTAGAATTAATGTTTTTATGTCCTTTGTTTTTACCATGTATTATTATTGTGTTTGGTTGTTTTTTTATACTTCAAACATTCAAAGAAATGTAAAAAAAAAATATATATATTATATATCTTACTTACGTGACAGTGTGATGTATAGGCAATGTCTACTTGGGTTTAGCTTAAAGGGTGAAATAAGAGGAATGAATCTGATGTCAAAAGCTATGCTTAACTATGAAGTGGACTTCAGATTTGACCATTTGGTGTTATTTTAGACCACTTAAAGTGAACTTGCTTAATTGTATTTGTCCATAAAGGCTAATAACAGTATTTTCTACCTCATTAAGCATTTGCAAGGCATTTCTTTTTAAATGTTTTGAAGCCCACCCTACTATTTTGGCGTCACTGGTAAATCCAATTTTAGTGTCCTCTGAAACAGGGACAGATATTTTAAAGGACTGCTGCTTTAACCTAACCCTACTGCCTATTTGTATGTAAGGCAATATTCTGATTGTGTTTACCACAACTTCAAAATACTCACCTGCCAGGGCCCTCACACACCAGCTACAATCCCAGGTTTGGGTGGTAATGTGTCACATGACAGAGTGTGTCACATTTTGTTTCTTTTTTTTTCACGGCTCTGGAAGCCCTATCTATGTGTCCTGCAGATGCATATGGCAGCTTATTGAAAAACTACTGACTATGAAGATGAAGAAATTGCTAACCAACGTAAAATCTGTGTTACTTGAACTTATCTAATCAAAAAAATATATATGTTTTTTTTAAAGATTTTAGTGGATGAATAACCAAAAAGTGCACCACTATCACCACTCTTGCCATGTCACTTGTTTTGTTGTTTTTTCTGTATGTAATGAATAAATGCTTTTTTCTAAGAAGAAAAAGTTTTGTCAGTTAAAGTTAAACTTGGATTTCTTTTTTCTTAAAGGTCCAATGTGAAACACTGAGGAGGATTGATAGTCAGGAATGGAATATAACATTCATAAGAATTGAGTTTTCATTACCTTTTGAACCAACTGTTTTTAGTCAAATTGCCATGTCTGTAGTTATAAAAGGCTCATTCTAAGATGAATAATTTCTATATAAAGCTGATTAAACACTAATGAAAACATAGTTATACATACTATATTAAATTCCTGCCATAGATCCTCCTATGTTACACACTGGACCTTTAAGTGCCATACACACTCTCCTTTAATACATACATTTCTGCCTCACCCTCAGGCATTATCTCTGTGCAGTGGAGTCACTTTATGGCCCATTGGGATTTCTTGTTTACATGGAAAATATAGTGAACTCTGGGAAATGAGTTGAGTATGTAAATAGCCTGACCCTGCTTTATTCCCATCAGACTTAGTTGTGCTGGGGAGTTGACTGGGAGCATCACTGTTGCTAGGTATTGCTAGGTATCATTCATGACGTCAGCCTACCTACCTACCTGACTACCTGACTACCTGACTCACTGCTGCTCCTTTTAGATGGGAAAGTGCTCTACAAAATGTATGATTAGATATGCTTAAGCCAGAAGGTATGACTTTGTGGATGCACTTTGGCTTTATTCCACTGCTATTCAAAGCATAAAGATACCTCAACCTATCTTTAAGCAATGTGCAGATCCAAACGAGCTTTGGGAAATATTGATTGCCGTTTTTTTTTTGTGCCTTTTTTACCTTTGGACTTACAAACAGAGGGGGAACCGTTCACTGTCTGTCGGAGCAACATGTCTGGTTATGTGCTTACCGGAGATGCAAAATAAAATCTGTTAAACTTAGAAATTCAGACATCAGTGAGCCCCCCATGGACAGTGAGATGATTTCTCAAGAAACAAAGGACGTGGAGTGATGCAATGGCGCTCGGGCACGGCTCTAAAAAGTCAATTTCATGTGACCAGGGGGTCACTCCTGCTTCTCTGAACAATGGGGTCAGTATGTAGTCTGATATTTATAATCTATTATGTCATATTAATGTATGTCACACCTGTGGAGTTGTTAGAGTAAACATGATTTTAACAGAAATATATATATCCCTATATGTAGGCCTTTCTTTAAATTTAAAGGAAATTGTTTTGATTTTGAATGTCGTTGGCTCTGGTTGTGAACTAAACCTTCTATAAGACAAAGAAGTTGCGTTTGTATGCACAGTCTGAAAAGACAGTTAATACAGATGCAGGAATACAACATTTTGGCATACTGTATACACCTGAAGGCTTTTGGGTGCAGCTTAAAAGTGCCTGGTTTTCAGTTTCCTGCACTTTAAACCCCTTCCTGTCATGTGTTTCTCAGTGGATGAGTCTCACTTTAGTTTAGTCCATTTCAAAATACTTTACCATACCTTATTTAAGAATAGCCTAACTGGGAACTCCAACAAATTTCACACATCATAGTCTATTTACAGGTATTGGGGAAATCCAGATGTGAAAAAAGCAAGCAGCAACCTCCATAGGTGGCAAATGAAGCCAACAATGCTTATTAAAATTAAGATGTTTACAGCCTGGTACAAAAAACGGTTTTGGTCTCTATAGCTAAGTACCCTGTTCCTGACAACTGTTTTTATAAACCATTTCAATTATATTAAAGCTTAAAGTTATGCATAAATAAGGGCATGCCCACTTGCAACAGGTAGGTGCCGTGACAGGCGGCTGTTTTCAATAACCAGGCTTCATTCGGCCTGCCTCATCTTCACACACGCTCTGTGTCTTTGCCCATTTTTGGATAAGCCAGGAATTGACGCAGTCAGGACTGCCAGAGCTGACCACACTGGGATTCACAACAGCTCTTCAGAAATCTATGGATGTCCATTTTTAATGATACAGTCTATGGAGAAAAAAGTTGCAGCCTATAAAGCCTTTTGTGGCTCCAGAATGAGTTTAGCAGACCTCTGCAGGTTAAGTTGCATTGTGGGTAATGTAGGCGGCACAGGGGAGTGGAATAAAAAAAGATATAGAACGCGTTTAATGCTAAATTGGTGGTTTATTATTTAAAGTAAACTCAAGACAAAAGAAAAAAGTAGTATATATATATATATATATACATTTTTAGATGTTTTCAGTGACATTGCTTTTAATTCAGGAGCTTGGTAACAATAAAAAAAGAGTATGTTCCAACAAACTTTGCTGATTTTCTTTGCAGGGAGCAAATAGGATTTAAGTGTGTGCAAAATGTGCAAATAGCAGAATCTGCAATATTATTGCATTATTATTGTTATTATTATGTTATAGTCGCATTATAATGAAGTATTGTAGTTCTGAAGAGATGCCCTGACCTGCAAATCTTGTTGAAAACATGTTTGTTTCGTACAGAACTTGAAAACAACTATGTAGCTAAACCAAATCCTTTGGGGAAACATCTCAATGCCTCATATGCCCTGATGTGCCCTCGCTTACACTGTATGAAATGACACTTCAGACTGGATTTTACAAAGCAGATTTTAGATTTATAACAAAAAAAAATTTTGTCGGTTCTCCAAAGATAGAAGCTGGTGGAAAAGCTGTGGCTACACCCACCAGGAAGACTCGTTCCTGCAAGTGTATTCTGGCCTTCCTCATCATCCTCCTCCTAGCCGCAGGAGTCGCATTGGCCTGGTACTTCCTGGGTAAGGAGTTTTCTCTCTTTCTCGTTATGTATTAATTAATTTTCAGTCATGCTAGCAACATGACTGAAAATGTATTAATACAGTAATACTGTTAGTCCGTCCCCCATTTTGGCTCAGATCGTAAGACTACGACTCAACATAGACTTATAATTACTATGACATTTTGGACAGATATTGATGTACATGTTCAGGATGCAGAGGCTTTGCTGATCCCCTGACTTTCATCTAGAGTCCCCAGCAGGTTAACATTTTTGGCTTGTAATTAAATATCTTAACAAATATTGGATAGATTTCCATGAAATTTGGCACAGATACTGTATTCATGGTCCCCAGAAGATGAGTCCTAATGACTGGGGATCTCTTGATGTTTCTTGTAGTGTTATCAGGTCAAGTCTTCACGTATCTATTCAAATATCTGATTGACGGACTGGCACAAATCATTTTGCAAATTTAAATTTGGCTTCCTACATGATGATTTTTTTAGCAGCACATTGACTTAGATATTTTTGGTTTGATTTATTTGACAACTCAAATAGATACATTATGTATATACTCAGTCAAACATTGCAACAAATACATACATACTCATTTGGAGTCATTTGTGGTTTTGAGTGACATGTCTCAAAAGTTTATTGGATGGATTGCAATAACATTTGCTTAAGACATGTATTAATAATGTGTGTCATGTGTTAGTATGCTAACATTCTAAACTAAGATGTTACCATGGGAAATATTATAGGATCTACCTAAACATTAGCACATAAGCACTGTCATTGTGTGCATGTTAGCATGCTGACATTAGCATTTTGCTCAAAGCACTGCTGTGCCTAAGTACAGTCTCACAGAGCTGCATGCTAGCATCGCTGTAGGCTTTTAAGTTGTGTTTATTCATGCTGTGTTATTCTTCATACTATCCTCTGTAACAGAATACAGGGTTTGGGTGTTGGAGGTTCGTGTCCAGCAGCAGTACACGGCCTACCTGTCTATCCTCAACAGGAACTTCTCTGCTGATCTGTCCTCTCACAACAGCCCCGCATTCAAGAAAGAGGCCAAGGGAGTACAGAACTTGGTGAGCACGGACCATGAATTCCTCTCATACACTACCTGACAGAAAAGAATATCAGTAGTAGCCTACACGTATTGGAAACCCTTTAACTATAGTGAGATTAATTCAGAAGAATTCCCATGGAATAGTGTTATCAACCTAGGCTAGCATTCAGGAGTGAATCTGAGGGAGTAACTAACATACTGAATTAAATGCATTTTGCAGTTTTACATGAGAACAGGTGATATTGTCTTTGTCTTTCAGGTTGAAAACATAATGAAAGGTTCGAGTCTTTCTCGATACTTCAACTACACCACCGTGTTTGCCTTTGGGTATGTGGATCAAACTTTTTCATATACAGTACAGTAATAACGAGAGAGAAGAGGAGCAAGATGGGGTTACAGAACTCGTGTACAGTAAATACTCAAGTCTGCAAACATGTTGCGCCTATATTGAATGCTTTTAAGCAAGAAACACCTGCTTAAAGAAAAGAAAGCTGTTGGTTGATGAGGCTGATGACTACCTTCTATGGGGGGGCTGCCTCAGCGGTAGAACATGTGACCGTGAATCGAGATGTCCCCAGTTCAAATCTGCATGCCCCCTATGTTTGTGCTGCAGAAATATTCACTTTTCCATTTTTAACAGTAAGCATCACCGCCTTTGTTTGCTGCAGGGAGGGGAGTGTTGTGGCTCACTTCTGGATAGTGATGTCCGTTCCAGGCAGCCATGCTGAAAAGGTCACGCTGGAGACGGTCACCGGGAGCCTACAGAAAGGCCTGAAGTGGTACAGAGGGTCATATGAGGAGGAGATCGCCTGCTTCAGTGGATATCTCCTCCACCTCCCCTCTCTGATTGTCAGTGGTGAGAGGAGAGGAAGTTACAGTGTGTGTGTGTGTGTGTGTGTGTGTGTGTGTGTTCACCACCCCCAATGATGAGAGTGAGGTCTGTCAAGTCCACAACTGGTGCTTTGTTAGCTCTTTGTTAGCATTTTTTAGCACCCTGGATTTACCTAATTATCACTGTATTTTTCGAATTCAGTATATTGCAATATATTGTGATACTGTAAGCAAGGCAACATACTGCAATGTTTTTACAATCTTACTTTGTCATAGTGTGAAGAACATACCATGCATAAAATCTGAGTTAAAAAAGTAGATTTTTTCTTACATCCCTATTGAATCTGCAAAGATTTCATTACGTATCACTTTTTATGGTGTGTGCATGTGTGTGTGTGTCAGACATAAATTGTGTGTGAGAAAAGATGGAAAGTGCTTTATTCTTTAATGTCTCTGTGTTTTTGCTCTGCTCCCTACAGAAACCGACTCCAAAGTTTTAGAGCTTTTGAAAGCCTCATTTGGTATCACACGTTATATTTATTTTCATTCCTTCATAATTTTAAATCTTTTCTAATTCATCCATTTTGATTGACCTGTAATTAGCCTGCAGCACAAATATTTCCCAGAGCAAAACTTTAATGCATTGAAGCAAAGTAAAGTAAATAAATTGATTTTTCCCATGTATTATTATACATTTATGGTTATTCAATGCCTCCAAACATAAAACATCGTAAAACAAGAGAGAGTACCATCTGGAATTTCAGTCCAAATAGATTATTTCAGTTGAACATCATTTTGAGACAATTATGGTTTTTGAGTACAGGTTCATCTGTGATTTTCAAATACTGATTTACGACAATTAGGAAGCCATTTCTTTCAAAATGGATAATAGTTAATGATTCTTTAGGATAAACATAACCCTAATATAAGCCTTTTTGGATTCATATAGGAAAACATATGTGGACAAGCAACACAGAGGTTGTTTGTTTTTTCAAATAGCATTTGTAACTTTTTAACATTTTAACTTTAACTAATGTTTTTGGCCACATTTTTAGGCTATCCCTTGGCCTGCTGAAGTGTATTCTTCCCCAAAATACAAAACATGACAGCTATTGTTAGCTTAAACTATAATATGCTAATAGCACCACAGAGTGAATGTGTTCATTACAACACACAAAATAATGTTGTTAGCCAGTAATATACTAGGTTACCACTATAGGAAATGTGATTTTAAAGAGGCAACCCCCATCAAATACTTTGTACACTGAATATTTATTTTACAATAGCCCCATGTATACTGCTTGAACATGTAGAGAAGCCACACACCTGCCAAGATTAGTTATGCTTGAACAATTACTGTTCAAGGGGTTTAGTTTAACACTTGATGTTAATTTTTGTTCATTTAAGTGTCAAAAATCAATCATGAACTTGATTCTGGATGGCATATAAATCAATCAACTACAGTGACATGAATCTGGGAAAATTTACTTCAACAGAAATCCCACATAAGACCAGGTCAGCTTCTAATTCTCATTTTTTGGCACTTTCTCTCCAAGACTGTTACCGCTACCAGAAGGTGGTGTCCAGCAGCCCTGTGGCTCTCCGTGGCCCTGACACACAGCGATCCTCCTGCATGTGGCACCTCCAGGCCGCCCCTGGTTCCCAGTTGGAGCTCCACATGGAATGGCTGCTGTCTGAGTGTCGAGACAGGCTGGTGGTGTATAATTCCTTGACCCCCTCCGATACTCATCTCATCACATCGTGAGTTTGATCAACAGAGTTAGGCAAATTTTTGCAGTGGCATATCAGGCCAATATTTGATGTTGTTGAACATCGGATATAGGTCTGTCATCCCTTTTTTTATCAACACTCAGTCATTGGATCATTTGTAAAGGATGACTTTTAAACCTTTCACTTAAAAGAAGTTACACTATCTTTCGTACTGTATCTCTCTGTCCGTCCAGTGTGTATGGCTGCAGCAGACATGAGAGTGTGGTGCGTGTCCTGTCTTCAGGCGAGTGGATGACAGTGGTTTGGAAACAGGGTTTATACAACTACAAGGACCCCTTCTCTCTGTCTGCACAGGCCTGGAACCGCCAGGGTAAGACCACCTGAAAGTCCAAGCCTTCTTTTACCAATTGTTTCATACACTGTTACATACATATAAAATGAGAGGAGACAGATGATGAGTTGAATTCAGCCTGAGTGAGCAGAGACAAAAAAACACTGCTTTTTCATCGAATAAATCCAGTTGAAAAAGTGCGGGAAGAATTGTTAAGATAACTAAACAAGACTAAGAGTCTATAGCCATGCTAGCTGCTCTTCAACGCTGTATGCACAGTGGTGCTTTGAGCTAAATGCTAACACTACCATGCTCACTTTGACAATGCTATCATCTTGATGTTTAGCAGGTATAATAACAGTTCATATCTTAGTTTAGTATGTTAAGATTTGTTTATCAGCATTGGGGAATGGGAGCATTGGGGAATTAGCATGGGCCTTTCATCGGTTTTATAGGTATTTGGTTATAAACATAGGTATAGGAGAAATTGTACCTGATGATAGGGCTTGAGAAGAGATAAAGGAATCACCATTGTTATTGCCATTCCTCCTGAGAAGGACATGAAGTTCATGGTAATCCATCCAATAGTTGTGGAGACAATGCCAAAGAAGTCAGTGAGCTTAATCCTCTAGGGACCATAAATGTCTGATACATGGCCAATTATTGACAATTCATCCAACAGTTGTTGAGATATTTTGGTCTGGACAAAAGTGGTGGATTTGACTGTCCAATAGGGCAACATTGCTATTACGCCATGCTAGCATTGCAAAAAATATTACATGATACCAAGATATTGACATTAGTTTGCCCAGCTAACCTTCCATATATTTTTATTTCTATTTTTAGTCAGCTAATCTGCTGATCTGTTGCTTTTTTGACATGCAACAGCTCTGTAAAACTTTCCACTTAGTCATGCTCTCTAGAAATGTCTGTTTACTCAGCAGCCATACGCCAGCTTATGTTTAATTAGACTCAGTCAGTGACATTATACTGAGTAATCAGCACCCCCAACATAGCCTATTTAATACCACTTGACCTGATCAGGCCAGGTTGTATCAAAATCAGCAGGTTCTGTTTTTTTTAGTAGCAGGTGGAAATCTGTCAAGTCCTGGATGCTGCAGTATTTGTGATGATCTTTTATCCTCTGAGTTCTCCTCCTGTGTTTCAAAGTTGAAATTCACTGATGCCACAAAGTAGAATGGATTTGTATTGTGGACTGACGAACTGCCTTTCTCTTCCTCAGAGTGTAACTCAACTATAGAGCTGCAGGCAGTATCGGGGGTCCAGGGGACACTCAGGACACCTTTCTTCCCCAGCTACTACCCCCCTGACACTAATTGTACCTGGACCTTTACTGTAAGACACTCCTTTCACCCATATGTCTTCCACTTCTTGATTGATTGGGTGACTGACTCATCCATTCCTAGAAATCTGTTAACCATTTACAGCCTTTCATATTAATGATAAATGTATGTCTGTTTTTTATTGTTCTGTGTGATTTCAGATGCCCAGTGTGGGGATGGGCTTGTCTCTGGAATTTGAGGGATACGAGCTCAGCAGAGCCAGCTACAACCAGGACTGTACCCAGGGACAGTGGATCATCCAGAACCGCAGGTAGGCTGTGCCACAGTGAGACTAGCTGGTTGGTGAGAACTAAGGGGGGGGGGCTTGGCATTGATAGTCAGATGAACCTGCAGTGTGAATCGATCTAAGACTACAGAGCCCAACAAGATTTTATGAGCAGCAGTCAAAGCCTCACTGAGTGGTAACAAACCTCCAATAGAGATTAACTAAAAAGTCTGCACACCACAACTACACGGATGTTTTAGGTCATACCCTACTTCTTTAGCATGCTTACTCTCAGACAAAAAAAAACTTCATGCAGGTGATGAATCTAATAGAGAGAGAGAGATCTTAGCTAATTAAATGTCTATTGACATGACATTGTCTATGTCATGTCTATTTATAACTGCCACCTGTGTGTGGTTTGGTGTGTGACAGGAAACATGCATGTAAATATTTTCCATACAGCTCACGATGTGCAGACCTTTCGTTTGGTTTCATACCAAATAAAAAACACAAATGAATTAAATTACACAGTAAAAATGTTATACTCATACCATCACATTATTCTGTTGTGTATTGGACAACAGGGGGCAGCAGCATCCCATATGAGCTTCCTGTTAGATGTCTATAAAAACTTTTCATATGATTCAATTTAGAGGCATTTTACAATCTTATTTCTATTTCTATTTAGTTCAACATATCTTGAATGCTTTGCTTTAGGGCACTCCATAATTATATAATTCAAACCTGTGGGCGTCTTATAGAGCCATCTTGTTGTCTCTGCAGGGCAACATACCTGGAGTTTCCGTTGGATTTAAGTGTCTCTGTCCTCTTTTCAGACTGTGTGGTACCAGGGGCCTGCAGCCATACAATGAACGCCTTTTGCTGCTCTCCATGACAGCCACTGTTGTCATGACATCAGAGGTGTCACTCACAGGGCCCGGCCTTCAGCTGCACTACAGAGTCTTCAACATATCAGATCGTAAGTTGTGGATGCAGAAGAGACAGCCAAGACAGACAAGAAATTTGTCTAAATTAATTTCAAGTCTAAGTTAATCTAAAGTAATATAATATATTGTGTTTCACTTATGTTTATTTAAACTGTGTGTGTGCATGTGTGTTTTATAGCTTGCCCAGGCCAGTTTCTGTGCACTATTAATGGCCTATGTGTTCCTGTCTGCGATGGAATCAAGGACTGTCCCAACGGACTTGACGAGAGAAACTGTGGTATTTATTTCACGCATTATATGTTGACACATGATGCAACTTAAAACATGAAGCCAGTGAAGCCAAATGATACATTTACTCTCAAACAATGCTGAGTTTGTCCCATGCTTTTCAAAATGAATGATCTACAGCCAGTGGGATGCAACAACACTCTTCAGGAAAAGGACAGTGGTGAACAAAACATTCCCACACTATGTGACCACACATAGAATAAATACGTTTCTAGTTTTGTTTAGGGCAGGATTGTTTAAACATCTGTAATATGAGCCTTGTTAGCATGCTGCTCACAAAAGCTGGCTGGTCTAAAAGTCTGAGGGTGATGCTGATCTGATCTGATGGGCCTGTTCTTTCTAAATCTTCTGAATCCATTTGGGTGCCAGACCGTATCTCACAATGTGAAAACCTGTGAGATTTGGCAGCCAGTCAAGCTACAGTGCTGTTATTGGTTTGGCTTTTTATGTGTGAGTACTGGTCATGGATTAACCATTAATTAGAAACTATTTAATATGTGATATGAACACATCAGAAAGTCAAAGATTAGTAAATTTAGTTTGCATGCATATAATATGATGATTTTCTGTAGCATGAAAGCTTCACATTGCATGATTGTGTAAACTTCTAACCGTCTACCATCTTAGTTCATAATTTTTTTTTATTATGTGGAGACACGTGCAAGCTGGTACATTTCCTTGTGTGTGTGTTTCAGTGTGTGTGGCACAGTTCCAGTGTCCAGAGGACAGTCAGTGTGTGGACTACTACAAGGTGTGTGACCAACACCCAGACTGCCCTGAAGCAACGGACGAGATGAACTGTACTGATGGTAACACAGTCAGCTTTTCACACCATCACAAGCACATCCCACACCCAAACACACACACAAACACAC